AACAGTTTTATCCCATTAGACTATTATGTCTTATGCACACATCAAGACTACACTTATTTACCACACACGAACCTGACTTGTGCCTAGAGAGTAAATTAAGTTTCTCAGACAATAAAGAATCCTTGCCAGCAACCTTCTCCCCCCAACCCTCCCAATTGGATGTTGTTAGACTGCGCCCTAGGACCACACACACATACACACACTGGCTCTGGCTAATTACTCAGAACACTAAATGATTAACTCTAAATTCTTAAATCACTTAACAAGGTAATTTTTACAGTCAGAATTATTCAATTTTGTAAAAAGGGGTCACAAATTTATCAGTAACTAAGCTGGTACAATAAATTATTACATATCCTAAAGTTCAAAGCTGATCAACCCTACACAACCACAGCCTTGGGGCCAGATTTGGTTATCCCACCTGGCCATGCCCTCTAGGCAAGGAGCTGACTTACTGTAACTCTGAGCAGATGAGGGTGGGGGTACAGGAGGAGTGGACAGTGATTCTGACATGTCTGATAGGTGCCAAAAGCCACACTACTTACAGACAAGTGTGAAGCTAGCAGCCTCCAACACCTGGGGCATCCTGGTGTTCATCGCAACAACTTCTGGGGCACACTGGCCAAGGGAGGTAAAACTCAGGAGATCCCCCAAGATCAAGCTTTCCTCTGGGAAAAGTGGTTCTAGCTTCAGCACCTGACGTTTGATTCAAGTAGTCCCTTGAGCTGCTTCTGATGTTCTGAGTGAGTGTCCCAATCCATTCTCGACTTCTTCTTTTTTTTTTTTTTAACTTATTTATTTCTATTTTAAGTAGGCTCCATGCCCAAAGTCGAGTTCCAAGATTAAGAGTCCTATAGCTCTGCCGACAGAGCCAGCCAGCTTATCCCATTCATTTCCCCTTTTTATGAACTGTGCACCTATTTCTCCACACACCTTAGCTCACATAGTGCGTGCTGGGAGCTCTCTTACTTCACATTCACCTTTCTGGGAAACTGACTTTCAACCCAACAGGGGCAGTCTGGGCATTTCCTGTGATCACAAAAAGAAAAAACAAAACAAAACAAGACACAAATTGGTCGTATAGTTTTGACACTATTTGCTAGCCAGAATGTTATCTTTGCGATCACTAACATTTTGTATTGTACTCAGTTAACTCACTGAGCAAGTAGAAAAATCCATCTCTAAATTGGCTTTCCAAGGGAGAGCATATGGACTCTGGAAAATGTTTACTTTGTCTGGCTTCACCAATTTAGTATCATAGCTTTGTAGTGTTCAAGCAAATCCAATCATCGTTCTGGTTTGCGTGAATTGCCTCCACTAAGTGTGTATTCATTGTCCCAAGAAAATTAGATTTCACACTGAAAATTTTCCAGCAATCCTTAGGATATCAACCAATCCTGAAACTGTCCATCCTTCTGATACTCCATGCTAAGAACTTCTGACACTAGATTTCTGACATTAAGCATAGCAATAAGCCCTGTGAACTTACTTTCACTAACATAATCTTTTTTCAGAATTGCCTCTGTTGTCATCTTCATTCCTTGACAAAGTAAATTAAATTCAGTTTACTTATATCATAACAGATTTCTTTATTTGAGATATGGGCTTTCCAGTGATTTCAGTGACCAACGTGAATAAATTGAGCAAGTTCATCGTATATCAAAATAGCATCTTCCATAAAAATATTTTTTTTCTATTTTTGTGAAAAATTTGGAATTTTCATAAGGATTACACTAACAGTAGATCAATTGGGTAGTATGGACATTGTTACAATATTGATTTTTCCAATCCAAGAATATGGGAGATCTTTCCTATTATTTGTGCCTTCAATTTTTTCATCAATGTCTTATACTTTGTTCAATTTTTGGTTAAATTTATTCCTATGTATTTTATTCTTTTTTAATGCTATTGTCAGTGAGATTGTTGCTACAGTATTTTTGTATGTTAATTTTTGTATCTTGGAGCTTCACTGAATTTGGATTTGGATAAATAAATTCCAAGGATCTAAGGCACAGTGTGGTAACTATAATAATAATGTATTAAAATATTTGAAATCATCTGAGAATAGAGTTTAAGAATTCTCATTATACACACAAAAGACGTTAACTATGTGAGGAAAAAAAAAGTATTAATTACCTCGATTATGGTAATCATTTCACAATGTATACATATATCTGATCATCATGTTGTATATTTTAAATATACACAGTTTTATTTTCAGTTATTCCCCAAAGACACTGGAGGGGTGCCTGGGTGGCTCAGTTGGCTGAGTTTTGTAGGTTTTCTAGGTTTTGGCTCAGTTCATGACCCCATGGGTTGTGGGATAGAGGCGGTGTTAGGTTCCAGGATCAATGTGGAGTCTGCTTGAGATTCTCTCTCTCTCTCTCTCTCCCCCTCTGCCCCTGCCCCTTCCCTTCATGTGTTCTCACTCATGCATGCTCCCTCTCTCTCAAATAAAATAGTAAATCTTTTTTTAAGGCTAGAGGAAAAAAAAAGCATCTTCTCCTTAACCTATGAAGTTTCATTCACATTATAAGAAAAGGGTAATTTAAAATTTCCAATTTACTGTTCTTTTACAGATGTTTTCCAGTATATATAAATTAGAATATTCCTGTAATAATAGCTTTAGAATCAGATTTGTTAAAGATTTCTAGGAATTGATACTATCTGTTCAAGTTCACAAAAATGTATCACTTTAAATTATCTTGTTTTAGTTATCAAATTTAATAGCACAGAGTAAAATGCACAAATCTCAGATTCTGACTTCCTACTAAAAGAAAAGCTTTAAAAAAAATCACTTGAAAAACAGAGTTTCTTTACTAGTTAAAAACCAGATATATATTGCCATTTATTAAATTTGCATGGTAGGTGATTATTCTTCTTTGCTTTAGTGTTTGAGCTGTTTACAGACAATAATAGAGGTAAACTATTAGTAATTGCTATTATAATCAGCTACTTACTTTAATGAGAAAGTGATGAAATAATAGGAGTTGAGGAACTATTTTGAGGACTTCTCATGTTGGACAAGTAGGAGTAAAAAAAAAAAAATGTACTCATGAAACTGTGTGTTTAGATGACCAAATCTAGCGCCAAATGAAGACATATTCACGAAATTGTATTGACCCTGCTTTAGGAAAATTTTGCTGTTCTAATTAATTGAAGATTGTCTGGATGCGAGCTTTAATAAAAGTTTCTTTTTTTGTCAAACAAAACTTTACCTCACTTAATGATCATTTTATGAAAAAAATACTTTATTTTAGATGAAAATTTAATAGACTCCTTAGTAGCAATTGAAATATACATTTCAATAAATGGCTCTTACATTAAAAATCCCTAAACAGCCTGATTGGATATACCCTTATAAATGTTTCCTGTTTTTCTTCTTTTCTGAATAGAATATCACCTGCTAATTTCTAATTTCTTCTCTTCAAGGAATTTTTAATTAAAAAAATAAAATAAAATAATGTTGCCTAATAAAAGACACAGTTGATTTTAAATGAGTAACTGGAAGGAGTTCCCAGATTTTAAAGCATGGCATAGCACATGGATTTCAGGATTTATATTCTCTCTCTCTTTTTTTAAGATTTTATTTATTTATCAGAAAGAGAGAGAGAGCAGGCACACACAAGCTGGGGGAGTGTCAGGCAGAGGGAGAAGCAGGCTCCCTGCCAAGCAAGGAGCCCAATGTCAGACTCAATCCCTGGACCCTGGATCATGACCTGAGCCAAAGGCAGGTCACTTAACAGGGACTGGCCACCCAGGCATCCTGGGACTTATATTTTCACTTTTCTGTGCCATTTTAAGTATTTATGCATTTATGAGCTTAGCTCTCTTCCTAAGAACTGAAAAGAACACCTTAATGTAAATTAGTATGATTGCTCTTTTATGATTTTACAAGATAATATGAATCTACCACGTCTCCCAAATTGCTCCACCTCCTTGTGTTCACTCTTGTGTGATCACCTCTCCTTGAGTGTGAGCTGGGACTAGTGACTCACTCCTAATGAACAGATCAGGGTAAGGTGTGTCATTTGCAAGGTTATATTACAATAAATAATATAGCTTCTGCCTTCTCTCACTCATTCTCCTCTTCCTTTTCCTCCTTTCTTCCAGCCAAATGCTGTGAGCTGCCCTGTGGAGAGGTCCACATGGCCAACAAATGAAGGGGGTCTCTCATCTCATCCACAGCCCTTGAGGACTTGAGGCCTTCAGTCATGTAGCCCACAAGAAACCGAATCCTGCCAACAACCACTGGAGTGAAATTGCAAGCTGATTCTCCTTCAGTGGAGCATTCAGGTATGACCACAGCCCCACCTGATACCTTGATTGCAACCTTGGGAGCTTGAGGTTAAACTATGGTTGTATTCCTGAACCACACAAGCAGTGACATAATAAATCCTTATTGTTTTCAGGTGATAAATAATAGCTGTCACAGTTATTTTATAGTTGATTACCTAATCATAGGTCCTTTGTGACTTGAGGTTCATGTTTTCCTACTTCACCTGTTTTACAATTGTTGATTGCATGCCAGATATTTAGTATTAAAAAATGATAAGACACTGAAGTAAATACTATTTATTATCAGCAAAGACATACCCTTTCCTTTGTCAGTCCTCTCAAGTGGGATCTAAATGTGTTGTTGAGCTGGGTTTAAGATTGTTGAAGCTTAGGCAAATTAAGATCACCACTGTCTTCCTAAATTGTGAGTGTAGACTCTCTTCAGGAGAGCTTGAAATCTGAGCACAGCTAAGACTCCAAATCAGTCTCATTTTTTTCTCTCTCTTTATCCCTTCTCTCTCTCTCTCACTCTCTCTCTCTCTGCTTTCTAGCCCAGTTGCCAGCTCCAAATACCACTAAAGATGTCTCTGTAGTTTCCAACCCCACCCCCAATTTTCCGTATTGAAGAGATCTCATTCTACTGTCCTGGGTTCACCCTTCTTCATATTCTGGCATAGCCTCAAAAAAGACCCATGTGACTCAGGGGAATCTTTCTCATGTACAGCTCTACCCCCAGTTTCTGGTGCAATACCGTTGGCAAATTCCTGTGGGAAAGAACGGTGGGTAGATATGTTTCTACCTTGCATCTGGGCACTTTAGGATTCTAATCCCTCTCACCAATCCATGTGGGTATGTGAAAGGATGCTAAAATTTTAACTGGATACGGCTTCTGTCTAGGCAGGCTTATTTCTTTTCCCACTGTGCACTCAGGGAGGAAAGTGGCTGTGAGCTACTTTTTTCCTAGTCAGAGATTGTTCCTTTCTAGAATTTAGTTTATTTGATCTATTTGCATTCCACATCTCAAATGTATTTTCTAAAAATGCATTATTTTCTAGCTTGTTTCCAGGCCTAATTTTCTCTGTGTTACAGTGGTGCCATGGTCTCTTATTACTTTCTACAGTTCAACTGGAATCTCAGTTTTCATGGATTTTAAGTTTAAATGTTTATCTCTAGCTTGAACAGAGTTCATCTCTTCTCCAATTGTCCATTGCTTCTTAGACATCTTTGCATGGATGCTTAATAGACATCTCAAAATTAAAATGTCCAACACTAAGTTCATGTTCATAGTCCCAAAACCTGCCTCCCATACAGTGTCCCAAAGTTACTTAATGGCAAATCTATTATTTTAGCTGCTCAGAAGAAATCTTGGACCAACGTTTTTTCACATCAAATATATTCTCTCGTGAAAACCTCCATTTTTTCTTCAGAATGTTTTCTGCCTCAGACATCTTCTTACCAACTACACTGTTGTCACCTTGGCCCATCACCTTTTTAGATTACAACTCTAGTGTTCTTCCTTCTACACATGACTGACTAACCCTCCTAGAGTCTATGACCTAGTGAGCAAATGGAATGATTCTTTTACAGCATAAATCAGATCAAGACACCATTCTATTCAAAACCCTACAACAGTCCTGCACTCAATCAAACCAAAGTCCTTAAAATGTCTTATAAGGCACTAGGTAATATGCCCCCACATGCACCCCTGCCTGAATTGCCATGTTCACGTCTTCTTTCCCTTCACGTCACTCATTCTATTATAGCCACACTGGCCTTCTTTCCCCCAAAATGCAAATGTACTCCCATCTCTGGACTTCTACACTATATCCTCTGCCTTGAATGTTAGTTTTTCCTCAGACATCTTAATATCATGTGCTTTTAAATCCTTCAATTCTTCTAAATATCACATTCTCAGTGAAACTCATGTAAAAATGCACCTTATTTCCAACTTCCCTTACTTTGCTATTTATTTTCCCCAAGGAATTTATCACATTCCAGCAATTTATAAATGCATCTATCTACCTACATATGTGTGAACTTGTAGTCCTTGATGTTATGTGTCGACTTGGTTGGGCCATAGGGTACTCAGATATTTGGTCAAACATAACATCATTCTGCATGTTTCTGTGAGGGTGATTCTGGATGACATTAACATTTGAATTGTTTCCATGAATAAAACATATTGCTCTTTCTAGTGACAGTGGGCCTCATTCAATCCACTGAAAGCTTGAATACATCAGAAAGGCCAACCATTCTCCAAATAAGGGGAAATTCCTCTTGCCTAACTGCCTTTAATCTGAGAGGTTTGTTTTTTCCTGCCTTTAGACTCAAACTAACATATTGGCTTTTTTCAGGTCTTGAAATTGCCAGGCTTGGCATTGAAACTACACTATTTTCTTGTTTCTCAGGCTTTCAGATTCAGACTGGAACTATATCGTTGGTTCTCCTTCATCTCCAACTTGCTGACTCACTCTGTAGATCTTAGGATTTGTCAGTCTCCATAATTGTGAGCCAATTCTTTATAGTCTCTCTATCCCTCTCTCTCTCTCTCTGTTATACTGGTTATGTTTCACTGGAGATTCCTTATGAATATCTATCATCTATATATTTTTTGTATTTATATTTATATTTTATGTCTCCCTCTATTGGAATGCAAGAGTCTCAAGAGTAAGAATTTTTATGTCTTGTTTATTGCTGCATTCAATTTTTAACAGAATTGAAAAAAAAATACTTGAGACATTTTTGGCTTTCAAAATATAATTCATGTGCATTTCTCTTGAAGCTTATTCTAATCTATCTTTTGCTTGCTACTGTGAGTGATCCAATTTATGCCATTTTTTAAAAATTTATTACTCTTAGCATATAAAATGTACAAGTGTTTAGAAGCATATTGAATCACATAGAAAGCTAATAAGACCAGCAAGTGCATATTACCAACATGATGCCCAAATACTCTTCTGAATGTTTGACATATATGACCTTATATAATTCTCACAACATACCCATTTTACAGATGAGGAAACTGAAGTAAATTTCCAGATTATACAATGACTAAGAGATAGAGCAAAGACTGGAAGCTGGACTATCTGGTTCTGAAATCCATGGTTTTACACCAGTTTACATCAGGCTATCACCAAATGCCTTCTATCTACCTTCTCCATGAAGTTGAATTCCATTAGCAAGTAAAGCACAACTCCAAGTTCTGTTTTTGTCTATTATTACCCAAAAGTTATAGAAATTAAGTTTTGTAATTATTTTATTCATGTCTGAAGAATTGCTTGCTTTGCCCACAGATGGCAGAGAAATCTTCTATTTTAGTTTGACGCTTACAAGAAAATACTATACTTATGTTTTATAATGTAAACCAACTTTCCAGGACACAATGGTTAATATAAAATTTGAGAAATTGACCTCAGGTCTTTGGATGTCAGTGCCAATCCAACAGTATAGCTTATCACAGAAAGGGTATGCAAAATTCAACCTATAGCTCCTCTGGAAAATTCTTCCTATCTTAGCAAAATAATTTTAAGATATGTCCATATTACACTTTCTTTTTTATGTGTGTTTATTTTGTATTTCTCTGAAGGACAAAAATATCTCTTTCCTTGAATTCAAAGTTTTTTGGATTTTCTTTGGTTTTAGTTTTTTATCTTTATTTTTTGTTTTTTGGTTTTCTTTTTTACTTCCTATGTGTTTGATATGCTGTCATATGTAAATTATGCTTTGCTTGTGTACCAAGTCAATGTGCAAACATTTGCAGGCACTTGGTTAAAGTAATGGTCAGTCATAATCATATTCAACTCTTTAAATTATAAGACCATTTCGCAAATAAAAGAAAGCTTGGCCAAACTTTAGAAAAAGGAATTGCAGGAACAAATAAATTTAATTAATTAGCTACAGCTTTGTTATGGAAGACAAAAGAATGAGTTTATTCCTCCCTTGAAATATTCTAGAAATATACTACACTTTTTATATGCCAAAAAAAAAAAAAAAAAAAAGAATACCAAGAGAAAATGTATACCTCTTACTGGCTTAGATATATACAATGACAATATCATATATAAAGTACTGGGGTTGAATTAAATAATGAAATTAAATAATGAAATTTCATTCCTGAGTAGAATGGAATTTAAATTACATCAGTTTTGGCTTACTAAAGTTCCTATTTTCCTAAAATTGATTCCTGTCAATTCTTGGAACTTCATAGTTTGTTAGACATACGGATTTATATTTTTTCCTCTCCTGCCAGACTATAGATTTCTTAAAGGCCAAGATCCTGTCTTACTAATATTTGTATACATTGCATTTCTACATACCTGTCACCTGGGAGGATTTGAATGAGTTTGAAGAAAAAAATGAATCAATGTAAACTAGATCTAGTTGAAACTTAATAATTGATGATAGGAATGTCAATACAAAATGGTGAGATTATTGATTATTTTACGTTTGTAGGGATTTTTTTTTTCTGCTTTTTATCCCATTAGATACATAGACTAAAGTCATTATCCTGTATTTCCCAAATTATTCATCTTAGAAAATTAGAGTTTATTATAAAAACAGCATATCACTTCTATAGTCTTAGGAAGTATGTCTCTTTTGATAGCCTTCATTTGATATCTTTCATGTTAATGCAGAAGATTGATTTGTATAATCACAAAATTTTGCAATTTGGCCTTCTAATTTAAGATCACACTCTATATGATGCTAAGGAAGAGGCAGTGTGCTGTAATTCAATATGGACAGCCTTCAAAATCACAATGTCATAAAAGCTAAGTTTCTGACACAAAATGAGCAAATTACACTGTTATTGTTTTATTTATTTTGTATTTTTAAATTTTTTGCATTTGTTGTAACTCCTTAGAAAAGTATTGAGATAGAGTAGGCAGACGAGAATTTGTTTCAATATTTACTCAACAAGTGTTGATTTCTTTATACGTGCAGAACTGGGCTAGCATGCATACTAAAATGCAATCTTAGAATTTCATTAGATGACTTTGATGACCTATTTTAGGATAGAAAAATATTGACATACAGTATTAGTTTAAAAAGACGTTATTGTGGGGTGCTTGGGTGGCTCAGTGGGTTAAGCCTCTGCCCAAGGCTCAGGTCATGATCCCATGTCTTGGGATCAAAGCCCACATCAGGCTCTCTGCTCAGCAGAGAGCCTACTTCTCTACCCACCAACCCCCACCCCCGCCTGCCTCTTTGCCTACTTGTGATCTCTCTCTCTGTGTCAAATAAATAAATAAAATCTTAAAAAAAAAAAACACATTATTACTTAGAAATTAATTTACCGAAGAACAGTGGCAATTGGATCACACAACCTAATGAGAAGAGAAGGGAAAAAATTGCATTAGTTGTTATTACTGTCAGGAAGACTAACTAGTATCTGAGAATGCAGCCAAATGACTTCACAGTGAAGACAAAAAATAGGCAAGGAAGTAAAGAAGCTAAGACAACAGAGAAAAAGGGTAGGAAGGCATGGAAAGAGAAAGAGAGAAAAGCTCTTTTTTTATGTGAGGAAAGGGGATTTAAGATCACCACTCTGATTTTGGAAATTCTTAAGGGCACCAGGTCAGAAATTAACTTCCCTTCTACTTCTATAACCACTACTATCACTGCCATGGCTATGAGTAATACAACTCTTTAAATCTCTGACTATAAATCAGGATAGATTTTACTGTCACGATGAAATTTCAGGTTTGTTTTGCTTTTGTTTTTGGGGTGTGTGTGTG